CATGGCACTCCCAGGCATTCTCTGGGCTGAAGGCAGAATGAGGGTCCCCTGGGTCCTTGGCTCTTTGCAGATTGAAAGTTGCTCAGTCTGTTAACTGTGAGATCAACACACAGCTGAATATATGTCCTCTCCCTCTGGGGAGGCAGGAAGGCCGGACTCCAGATATTGGCCTCAGTGGAGAGGGCAGGCCATGCCCACAGAGAGTTCTGAGGCCACCAAAGGAGGCCCAGCCTGGAAGCCTGTGGAGTGGGGGAGACCAGAGCTGGCTAAGCTCCTGGCTGGCCTGGGCAACACATGGGCACTGCCCAGAGGCCAAGGCTGCCCGATGTGGTGCTGGGGGACTCTGCAGCCTGCACTTCCGGCAGTGTGTACCAATGCCCATGACTGCTACCCATCTTTCCAGAAACTGCTGCTGCACCTCCAAGGGGAGCGCAAGTGAGTATGCTGTCTCTGTGGCCCCCATTTCTGCTTGTGCCCCCTCTGTTAGCCTGAGCCTCAAGAGTGTGGAAAGGTGGTGTTTCCACTGCTCCTCCAGGGTCAACCCCAGACAGGGCATGCCTGTGGGCAGCCAAACATGGGGAATCCCACCACTTCACCTCAAAGGCTGGAAAAAACCATCACTAACAGTCACTGAGAACTTGCCCTGTGCTGAGCCATTTTCCAAGTCCTTTGCATGAGGTAATTGTTTTAATCCTCACAACCCAACCCTAGGAGGTAGACTTTGTTATTATTCCCATCCTTACATATCTGCAAACTGAGGCACAGAGAGGTTAGGAAGGAAAGAGAAACTCGTATCTGCTGGCATCCCACTAGTTCACATGATTTTCCACTTCCAGCAGACCCTCGCCCTTTCTGGGTAAGCCTCCCTCAGTTTTCTGGTCAACTCCCTTCCCCACCCACTGCAATGATGTCCTCCGTCTTTCTCTCCCACCTTCGAATTTCCAGCTGCCCCCTCCTGTCTATCTCCCACCTCCCTTTCCAAACAGCCTTGCCCCCTACTTCCCAGAATGCTGGGCAGTGCCCTCAACAGAACCCCCCCCCCATCTTCCTGCTCCCAGTCCTCCTGACTCACCCACCTGCCCGCTGTCCGTCTCCCGTTCCAATAGAAGATGCTCTTCTTCCCTTATGAGCTGTGGCTGACCCTCTGCAGCCCATGAATTCAGCTCTGTGAACGTCTCTGTCCCTCCAGGTCCACAGCTCAGAATCTTGGCATGCCCTTGACCTGCTCCTCCCCCTCAGTCCCACTACTGAGTCCTGTCCATTTTATGTCCTCAGTATTCCTAGAGTCTGTCCACTTTTCTCTGTCTCCCTCTCTACCCTCGGCCCATCGACAGTCTCCTAGT